AGTAGTAGTGACTTCGTGGTGGACAAGATGAGGGAGGGAGACTGAGATGGCTTGTGCATGTGAAGAGCGAAGTGCAGATGCCCTAGTGAGAAGTGTGGGAGCCGGGAGGTTGAATATAGTGGATCGAGGAGAGGTAGAGATAGACCGAAAAATATTAGGGTGAGGTGATCAGACAAGATATGACACATATTCAGCTTACTAAGGACCTTAGATAGGAAGGTATGGAGGTCACGAATTAGGGTAAAAGATTGGTACTCATCTAAGAGTTATTGTATTACTAGTCTTTTTATGTATTTGACCGGATGGTAGTATAGAGCACCATGTCAGTCGTCGTATTAGCCTACTCATGTATTCTTTGGTACCTGATATCACCTGGTATTATTATAGTTCTTACTTTTGATATCTTGCATCATTAGTTGTTTATTGTGTTCGATTATCACACTATTCTGTTGATTCACCATGTTAGTTGTTATGTTTTCTACATTTTTTTTTGTACTTGGATTTGTTACTCTCGAGTTGAGGGTCTTTCAAAAACAATTTTTCTATCTTTACGAGGTAATGGTAAGGTCTACATACACTATATCCTATCCAGACTCTATTTGTGGAATTTCACTAGGTAATTTAATAATTATTGGTTAGTTAGGTCAGACATATCTCTCTTTTTTTAAAAATAATTATATATTATTTTTTTCTTGTTAAACACATTCTTAGTAATAGAAGATAAACTTTATAAAAAAGTTTGGGCAATTTTATAATTTAAAGAACCAACATTTATCTTGGCCCACCAACAAATTTGCACCAGATTTTGAGAATCAGGTCCCTGCAAAACTACTAGACAATTTTTATGATCAGATAGATATTTTGCCAAAAAAAAATAAATCTCAAAAAATGCTTTTAAAAATCTATGTTTACATTGTTTGAGATATGGTAAGTGTGGTGTACCTTCTATTTTAATAGAAATTTTATGTATGACCTCTAAAATAAAGTAATTTTTGGAAGGAAATATCTTATTATAACGATTATAAAATTGAATCATTGATATCGTACTCCCATATTCAAACGAACAATAAAGTACAGAGTATTTGATTTGCATTGTCCATTACTATAAGATATTACAATAAATCAACTTACTCCACACATCTATGGAAAATTAAACCAATCAAAAAAAAAAGTGTACCAGTACCATCTTAGATGCCCAAAACGTACCTCTTTTAGTAGACACCATTAATTAAAAAGTCACATTGATTAGAATGTCCCTTGCATTTACAAAACATGAATAGATGGAAAAACAGAACTATAACATTACAAAAAGGTAAAAACCCAATAAATCCCAGAATAACTTTTATTCATCTTATTTTTTTAGAAAAAAAAAAAACCTACGAAGAAGTCAAGATTTTTCACTAAAAATTTCAACTTCATATGTATAGTACTGTGCTTTTTGGTGAAAAGATGTTCGGATGAACCTTCCGCCCCTGGCTGCTAGCCAAAGCGAATACGAATGCGAAAGGCCAAAATGAGGATAGTAAAAAAGACGAAAAAGAGTAGTGTGTGAAGGAGAATGGCTTTGCCATTAGTATTGAAGCTGCCGAATTCAACGTGACGCTGACTCCCCGGCAGCTGAAATATGAGCCCAGGCGAAAGAAGCACGAATAGAAGGTAACCTATAATAATTGGTGCCCAATCTAACATTTTTTCTGAGTTGCAGGGAAATATGTATTGACGATTGCACAGTAGTATTTTTTTTCAATTTAACATTTGTGGCCAGAATTTATTATGGTCTTGAAAATTGATTCCATGCTTGTTCCTCAAGAGAAGTAGCTAGAAACATGCTAAAGCCTTAAGATGGAAGGCAAAGCATCTTCTTTTGTGTAACCCATCCGGGAGCGGATCAGCATAGGCGAAGCCAGGATTAAGAGTTTGGGATTTTAAATTTCGATAATAACCGTTAATCAACTTTATTATGGGTTCATATATTAATATACATAAATATTTAATTAATTTTCTAGTACAAATATAAGGTCTACAGAAAAGCTATTGGGTTCGCTCGAACCCATGAACCCCCACCTAGCTCCGCCTCTGAGCAGATGTACAAAAAGTCACAAATTCAGCTGAATTCAGTAACTTTGACTAAAATACAATACATCAGAGGTGTATCCAGGATTTCTGCAAGATTGGTGCATAATTACAAAAAAAATGTATCTTAAATATAAATTTGATCGGTTTGACTTTTAGGTTTTTAATATGAACCATTAAATTTTAAAAATTATAGGTCCAAAACATATAATGCTACTAGCTTTAAATTTTAATATACACATTTGATTTAATTATATAAAATTTTTACAGTGCTAATTATTTTAGGAATTTTCAATGTAACACACTTGAAAATTTTGAAAGATTAAAGGAAAAAAACAAAAAAATAATTAGTTGAAACGCTAAAAGTGTAACCAATAACCACTTAGAGAGGTGTTAGTAAAAGACAAGATAGATATAGAATTTAAATTTCTATCCTTACTTAGAGGGGTGCACCCAATCATCATCGTATTATTATATGATACTTTGAACGTGGGTTCACACATCAATATTTAAATATTTTATAAAAATTATAACGCTACTATATATGATCTAGAGAGGGGAGCATGGGTTCACGTGAACCCACGGCACCCCCTCTAGATACGCCCCTGCAATACATGTGTTAAGAAACCTATTAAATCTCGAATCCAATAACTCAAATGATCAATGAGTTCAGTAATATCACGAACCTATAAAACTCAAATCCTGAATCTAAGTTACCTTAGATTATATATGGCAGTATGATGATCTGGTCTATAATTATATATACTAGTTGTTAAAATTTCATTATACCTAGAGTTATTTCATCTAGAACAAGGTACTCGAATTGATACTCATAAAACGAGTTAATATCTCAAAAGGTCACTCAACTTTGAGAATTTATCTAGAAAAGTCATTGAATTTTGTTTTGTATCAATAAAATCACTCAACTTAGACTTTTGTATCAAAAAAATGATTCAACTAAATTTATCATTAACTAAATTTTAACATGATAAAATAAATTATTTTATCCTCAAATTAAATGTTCTTTTAAGACATTAACTTTTAAATAAATTAATTAATTTAATAGTTACTTCTCCTTGGCAGCTGTTGACTCTCTCTTTCCTTTCTCACTCCAAAATAAAGTATAGTACTCATTAATTAGGTTTATTAGCACACCTGTAACTAAAATATCTATGCTAAATAACATAACGTCTAGAAAACCTCAAGATATGTTATCCCCATTTTTTAACAGGATTAAAATCGCCCAGTAGTTGGCAAAGGATTTCTGTGAATCTTACCGCTATACAAATATTCAAAAGATATGAAGCTTTTAATTTGCGAAATTCAAATAAAATAGATTTTGAAATATTAGAGACAACTGAAAAATGAGAATAATTTCATATATGAACATTTAACTTAATCCGCAAAACAGATATTATTTTATTTATTTTAGGAGTTAATATTATTCAACTTTAGGAATAAAAAATAATTTATTTTGTCATGACAAATTTTATTTAATGAGAAATTCAGTTGAGTGATTTTATGGATACAAGGATTTAAGTTGAGTGATTTTATTGATACAAAGACTTAAGTTGAGTGACTTTATTGATACAAACAAAGTTTAATGACTTTTCTAAATAAATTTTCAAAATTGAGTGACCATTTAAGATATTAACTCCTCATAAAACTATTTAGATTGATGGTTTGAATTATTATCTTTAGCCTTTTATTTTAATTAAATATCGTCATATAAAATAAAATAGAAAGTGTATAATACACTAGATACTTCATCCCACTAATGTGTTTAGTACTTTCTTCTCTTGTTCATTAATCCAAGAATTTTTTTATTTTTTTTTTGAAACTTCTGTTTTTCAGAATTTATGCGATGGTGTCATCACGTTGTTTGTTTTGTCCTCTCTTTTTTTTTTTTTCTTTTTCCAGCGCCCCTCTAACTTCTTATAACTACATATTCTTCCTCTAACTTCAAAAATCACACTTGCCGCCTCCCATGCTTTGTCATATTGTACATGAACAATACCTTGACATCTCGAATTCTTGATTATATGAGAACTTTAATGAATGTCTTTATTGGTTTCTCTTTGATGGAAGTCTAATTTTTTTCAAAATGTATTTTAATTAAATCTGTTTGAAATAAAAAGTCCTGATATCTTTTCATTAGTAAATAAATAAGTGATTGAGCCATTAAATCCGATTTATGGAGATATATTTGAACAGGTAACTAAGAATATTTGTCTTGGAAGGAAAAACAAAATTGCCCTTCATAGGAAGAATAAGTTGAAAGGGGGTAATTACCATTGATGGATGTGGGAGAAGGAATTGATTCTAAACTAGCTTCTTACTAGTGGTGTAGTACTCTTACTTTACTTTCTATTTTCCGAAAAGTCATTTATGTAAATTTAAGTTCTTAGCATAATTAATCCGAAATAATGAAGATTTTATTGGATGAAAATTGATATTTCTTTTGTTTGAAAAGAATGAAAGGGTTTAGAATACGACTATCAAATCTTCTAATTTTTGCCTCATTTTAAAAATATATTTAACTTGATATTACAAGGCACATAAAAAGTTCTGAATTAGTATACTTTTATTATTAAAAATAAGTAATTGAATTAATGAAAAAAATCATTTGGCTCTAAAAGAATAATAATAGTTTTCACAAAATGAAATTGGGAGGATGTGAATTAAATTAAATACGAATGAAAAAGAAAAAAAAGAAAGAAAGTTGAGGACTCAAAGGAGTAACAGTAAAATTCAATTTTCAAAATTGAATTTTCACTGTCTTAATTCAACTCCTCATTTGCTCCAGTGAAATTGGAATCCTCGTCATTGGTTTACGTGGAAGGATCTTACTGGTTAAGGCCCCACAAGATCACGGCGTTTTACCACAGATTATTCTATTCAATTCAATTCTCAGCTCAAACGCTAATCCTCTCCTTTCCTCTTCCTTCCGTAGGGTTTCCCTCCATCTCCTTCCACTCCTCGCCGGAAAATCTTCTTCCGGCAGTTGACACTTGAATCCACAGCGTCATCAATATTGTTCATATTTTGCTCCTATTTTTTCTGCTGAGAGCCGTCTTTTCCATTATTCGACCGTTGACAATTTTATCCATTACGTGGTTCCGTTGAAATCTCAAGTTTTATTGAATAATTTGATTGCTGTAGAGTTCAGATGCCGACGAGTCAAGGAGGAGGATCATCATCGAGGAGAAGCATATCGTTGACGAACTCTTCTTCACTCGCTAAGAAGAAAGCAGCCGCAGAAAATGGAGGAGTACAACCGGATTCTGCTCACCGGAAGTCGATTTCTGTATCTCGTTCCATGTATGTTTAATTCCTTTATTGAAGTAACGTTAATTTGGATATTGTATAAGTTTGTTTCCAGAAACTCTAAAGCAAAGATTTCTATAGTGTCCGGAATATACTTAGCTCTGTTTTATCAGGTAGGATTGAACTCAAAATAATCTTTTTAGTTGTGAAATATATTGGTTCCAATACTCAAGTTCGTAGAGATATGGATGTTTTCTCATTTAGGTACATCGTTGGACTTTGTGCTAGTAAATTTGGGGAAGTTGGTGGTGCCATCCCATTGTGGCCATCATATATTATTAATAGTGTTGGGTTTAGTTTTGCCACCCGCTTGAAATGTTTGTCATGTGAAATTAAGCTTTACTTGATTCTTCCCATGCGCTTCTTCCCCCAACTTGAACATTGGAGATGAATATGAGCTCTTAGTCAGGGATATCAATGATTTATTTGCTGCTTACTTATAGCTATATGAGGGAAAACAAAAGAGTTTATACTCTATACTTAGAATGTTTGGCAGTATGGAAAAATATTTTATAGTTGGAACCTCAGCTCAGTGATTGTTATTCTCACAGCGAAGTCTTATCTGATGTTGAAAAACTGCATGATGGAAGTGCTTAATTGTATGCTGCAATCGTCTATGGATGACTTGTTCACTTTACACCCATGTCCAATACTCAAATGCTCCCACCATTCATTTTGAGTGGTTCAATTGGCTATACTATGCAGGTTCCTTGAGGTTCTTGTTTGATCAGATTTTTGGTTTGAATTCAGTCCCCTTTTAGGTGGTTGATTTTTTTTTTTCTCTAATGCAACTTTTGGAGATTGCTTAGCAATTTAAGTGTATGGTCCTTTGTTATGTTCTTGCCACATGCAATGAAATTTTATTCAGGAACAAAGCATAGCTACGAGATTCTTTTGCTAGCGAGGATAACTAATATTTAAAAAACTTGTTTTGCTTTTGAGTTGGGATCAATAATAGTCACTTTGAGTTGTAATCATCATTTTGTGTGCTTATTTGAATTTTGATATTTGTTTCTCACAAATTTGGAACAGGGGACTGACTGGAGAACGCACAGTTAAAAGATTGAGGCTGTCAAAAGCCCTTACAATACCTGATACTACAAGTATTTATGAAGCCTGCCGCAAGATGGCTGCTCGCAGAGTTGATGCTTTGTTGTTGACTGATTCAAATGGATTACTATGTGGTATCCTGACAGATAAGGTTTGACTTTGATCATGCAAAAAGGCTGTAAAATTTTAGTAAATAGACTTCTGTAGAGCTAGCTGCCTATATTGCTGATGCTTTTCCTTTACCCATTAAGGTGATATCTTTAACTAATTCTTCATGCATCCTTTTCTTTTATTTCCTTTGGACAAATTGAAGGATATAGCAACAAGGGTTATTGCTCCAGAAGTTAATATACAAGAAACACCAGTTTCAAAGATAATGACGAAAAATCCAGTTTTTGTGCTTTCTGACACACTTGCCGTGGAAGCTTTGCAGAAAATGGTGCTAGGTTGGTGTATTTGAAATAACTCAAGCTGTTAACTTTCTTGAACACCTTTCCAACATCGTATGTTTGTTCTGACAACAGGAAAATTTAGACATTTGCCAGTTGTAGATAATGGAGAGGTCGTTGCTTTGCTTGATATTGCAAAGTGCCTTTATGATGCGATTGCTCGCCTCGAAAGGGCAGCTGAGAAAGGAAAGGCCATTGCAGCTGCCGTTGAGGGAGTTGAAAAACACTGGGGGGCAACTGGCTGTGGTTAGTTTAGTTTTGTGTTACTATTCTTCATTGGCATAGTGTAGGAGTGTCTATATACTGACTGTGTTTGTCAAGTTCATGTGATTGAATGATGATTTTGATTGGTCTTGAAATGCATTTATTAACTTTCAATATTTTTTGTTTTTAGCAAGTTCAAATACATTTATAGAAGCACTTCGGGAGAGAATGTTCAGGCCTTCACTGTCTACCATCATTTCTGAAAATTCAAAGTATGTAATACCTTCATTTTTAGATTAGTTTAACCTTTTAAGTAATCCGCAGGCGAGTCACTGTCTGTTGTTGATTTGTGGTGTTTTTAGGATTGTTACAGTTGAACCAAATGATACTGTTCTAGCCACAGCCAAAAAGATGCTCGAATGTCGAACAAGCTCTGCAATCATAACAGTTGACAACAAACCACGAGGGATTTTAACGTTAGTAGTGTTCCCCTTGTATTCACTCGTTTACATTTATCAATTCTGAGCTTTAGTGTAATGGCATATATTAATCATCTAATGAGAAGATTTGCCTCATGTACTCTGCAGTTCAAAGGACTTATTGATGCGAGTCATAGCACAAGATCTTTCCCCTGAATCCACTCTCGTCGAAAGGGTAATCTCTCTCTCTCTCTCTCTCTCTCTAATTGAGGGGGTATCTTTTTCGGGATAGCTCGCTGGTCATTATCGAAGTAAAAGGTTTAAACAATACTAGTTATTTGAATTATTGGAACTTAGATTTTTTCAATCTTTTTTGTTTTCCTTCCTTTCTTGAGATTTGAGAGAAGTTCTAATAACTTCCATTTTGTTTGCATCTAACATCCAGGTAATGACCCCCAATCCAGAATGTGCTTCAATAGATATGCCTATTGTTGATGCTTTACATACAATGCATGACGGGAAATTTTTACACCTTCCTGTTGTTGATAAAGGTAATATTCGCCTCCAGTTACACTTGAGTTAGAGTATCTTTTTTTTTTTTCATATTTCTTTAAATAAATTTGTACTTCTTCTTTGTGGCAGAGGGAACTGTTGTTTCTGTTCTTGATGTGCTTCATATCACTCATGCAGCTGTAGCCACGGTAAGGCAGTACACATGAACATGTCAATTTTTCCCTTCTCAACTTGTCATTAGCAACTGTTATCATTTGGGCTATCATGTTGGTGGTCAATTCACTTTGTGAATACAGCCTTGTATGTAATTACCTCATTCAAGTCTTGACTACTTTGATGCGTTTGCCATGTATCCATACATATTCAAAGACATAAACTCTTGTTTGGATCTTTTAAGTTGAAATCCTGCTGACCACTTTGTTAAGACTGACTTTTATGGAAAGTAAACTAGGTTGTCAGTTTACGTAAGTAAAAGAAATTCTAACTTTGTTGAATGTGTGAACAGAATACCCAGGAGGTTTATTTTATATTTCGTTGCACTTCAAAATTAATTTAGGTTACAATCTGCTCGATGATGTTTCAAAGATTCTTGCATTTGATTATGAGCTCCACTGCTAGTATTAATATCTTTATGACCTCTACTGCTAGTATTAATATTTAATTTTTTTCTTTATTTTGGATCAGTGAATATTTCAACCAATCCTTTAGCCATTGTGGCTGCTGTTTGTGCTTTCTCTACAAATGTGTTTAATTGGTCAAGTTGTCCTATTCGCTTTTAGATGGAAGGTGCTCAATTTATTTACATATATGATTTTTTAAAACTCTTCTTGTTTCATTATTTGATTAAAAACTTAACATGAGGGTTAAATTTTGTGAGGCACCTTTTCAACTACTAATATCATGTCAAAATTAAGGTAATATAGGATGTCATTAAGTTAAAAGTCACAATCAATCTTGTGGAATGTTGAATTTTTTTTATTTAATCTTAGGTTCTATATTTCATTTGTTAAGTTTGCTTTTTTCCCAAAGATTCTGGAAATTTATTTCAAGAACTGATACTAATCAGGTGGGAAATGCTGCTGGAGTAAATAATGAAGCTGCAAACTCTATGATGCAAAGATTTTGGGATTCAGCTATGGCATTGACTCCTGATGATGATGATGAGACGCGGAGGTTAATGCCTCTTTTCTGTGAACTCATTTTCTTTTCCTTTTGTATTATCTCTCACATTTTGTATTTGACATTTCAGTGAGAATTCCTTGAAATTGGCTTCTGAAGGGACAGAAACAGGAAGATCTATCCCCTATCCTTCATCTAGCCAGCCAACTAGTTTTTCATTCAAGATTAAAGACAAAAAAGGGAGGATGCACAGATTCAACTGTGGTATGTTTAAATACTATGCTTTTAGTTAACCAAAAAAATTAGGCACTTGTGAATGTTATCATATGACCTTGTGTATCTTTTTATATACACCTAATGAATAGCCTTTTATTCCTTATTTTCTTTTGGTGCATCCATGAGGTTTCGCTGTGGGTGTCGTTCATAGAAAATCATATCTTATTGTAAGATTCTACTTTTTGGTATACTTCTTGTATGCTGGTGTTTTATGCTCTTTGTTTATAAAATCTTATTGCTTGATTTAAAAATCAGATATGACCTTGTGTATCTTGTACCTGGAAATTCTTGTTGCCATTGGCCCATTTGTTTATATATGCATTCATGATGCCGAATCATGCTGTACCGTTGACATGTGTGAACAAACCAAAATATGTGTACCTCTATTTCTCTCTTTTAGGCATCTTGAGACCTGCCTTCCAAACTGTCGTAATTTTCCCAGGGCTCTAGACTCCTATCAAATTTATGGAAGTTCTGTCCTTTCAACTGTTTCCATGTCACTTGTGTTTCTCGATTGTTCTTTGTGTTGGTGCTCTTGAATTTCACCATCAGGCATTTATGTATTCAGCAGTGTCTGTTGCTTGCTCTTTTTTATTATTATTAGAGAGACCTTAAACTCTGTGGTTTACCCCTTATTGGGAAAAATTGGAACTTGTTTGTTATTTTGTCTCTTGAAACTAACTCTAGGAAATTGATATGATGTTTGTGCTTTGTCTTTCATAATTTAACAATTATGATAATCTTGACTCCCATGATGACCCTATTATTTTTATGATATTTCAGATATTCAGAACATGACAGATCTAATAGCTGCAATAATTCAGAGAGTGGGGGATGACATTGACCGGACCAATCTTCCTCAGATTCTGGTTGAATGCATTAATTTTTCCTCGTACATTTGAATGATTCTCCTCCTCTTGGTTTTCCCTGTTTGACCAAGTTGATTATTATTTTCAAGAACAATTACTCTCTTGCAGTATGAAGATGAAGATCATGACAAGGTTGTACTGGCATCAGATGGTGATCTTACAGCAGCTATTGACCATGCAAGATCTTCAGGTTGGAAGGTATGATTGACTTTCCTCTGGCCTTAGTTAATGTGTATGAACATAAACCCTAGTAACAGGAAGGAAGATTGACTTATGATTAGATATTAAATTTTGTTCGGTCTCTTTTCTTGATTACGAAATAAGGACTGATGACAAAAATCAACCTGAACAGGGGCTAAAATTGCACTTAGACTATTCAGGAACAACGGGTGGTAGTTTGGATTATGCTCATACTGAATCTGCATGGGCCTCAGCCTACAGCACCGTAGCAGCTGGTGCTGCATTAGTTGCGGGTTTAGGCGTATTAGCATTCTTAAGGAGATCCGGTAACTAATTACTTGAAAGAAGTTCAACTCTTGATAAACGAGGAATGGGAGTAGCATATTGATTCATATGAGCTCGATGGGCCAATCATATTTGACTGAATGTTGGTGTTATTAAATTGGACAGTTACACTGTATTGGAATCATTTTACCTTTTCCTCGTCTGCAATCCAGATTTGCAGGTTTTGATTTTGAGTGATGTAAATTGCACCATATAAATATAACCCTTACGTTGAAGGTTGTCTTCAAGAATGAACTGGCAACGCCATGCAAATTTTAGTGCCAAGAGTTGTCAGGAATTTAAATGTGATATACTATATTTGTTACGTAAAACATATGTATTGCACTTCTACATCCTGCTCGGTCTCTCTCTGAAATACCTTCTTTCATACTAACGGTAAGGCAAGGACCGATAACAACTATGTGTTTTATCCTTTGCAAGCGATGGTAGACAAGGTCCCTTGACATCATTTGTACAACTGCACAACTATTGCTATCCTTAAACTCAAGGACAATTTCATAAGCTAAAGAGTATTCCATTGATTTCAACTCAAAGCAAAAATCACAATGATTGTCGATGGAAATGAAGTATGAAAATTCAGATCACGACAGATATGAATTGGCATTTAATTCAATGTTAGGAAGACAAATGCAACTTCCTGAATTCTGCCATGAAGCTCAAAATAAGAATTTGCAAAAAACGTCGACAGCAGGGTTCGAACCTGCGCGGGCGAAGCCCAACAGATTTCAAGTCTGTCTCCTTAACCACTCGGACATATCGACTTCACGTTAATGATGCTGCTAATCAAGATTCAACTACGATAATTCAATATTTCACTTTTAATGGCTATGTAATGTTGCTAAGAAAAGAAAACAACAAATAATAAATATAATAAGTAATCTAATTATTAGGACAAGCAATCTAATGTTGCCAATATTTTAAAATTATTTTGATCATTTGGATGCGAAGAGAGTTTCAAATGGTTGTGACATGGGTTGCAGTGACTATGAAATGTATGATATTTCATTTTAATTAAATATTTCAAATTTTGATCTTTGTGAATGAAAAAAGATTTTTTAATAGAAGCGCCAAGCAATCAATCATAGAAATGAGCCATGTTATATGCTGAGTATAAATTAAGGGCTAACCCATCGGTGGCCCCCTAAACTTGACACGATCTTTCACTTAGACACCTCAACTGAAGGATTTTCATTTTAAACACCTAACGTAGGGTTCCCATGTGTTACTTTAACACTTTTTACACAGACATCTGTTGACCATAAGCGCGTGCAAGACAACCGTTCTACGTGGATTAACTGACCAATTATATGATGCCAACTCTTAAACCTCTTTACACGTCGTTTTTTTTCAAACTAAAAGAAAAATGGAACCATTTTTGTGATTTTTCAACTTCCTTCTTACGATTCTCTCTCTTCTCCGAGAAAACCCTAGGTAAATCTCCCTTCTCGTCACATGTATTTCTTTGTTTTTTCTTCAATTCGTTGTTAGTAATAACCATTGTTGTATTTTATGTCGCCATTTTTCAGGTTTAAGGTTGTATTGACGAGGTATCGGGCTGTGCGACATTGGAGAAATTGAAGAAATTAAAGGTAATGGTGTATTTTGTTTTCTACCTTTGTTTTTGTTTTCTTCAAGAAGGTGTATATTGTTGTTGAAGGTGTATATTGTTGTTGATTCCACTTTTTTTATTTTCAGTTTTAATATAGGTTTTGGCTGGTAAAGTAAGGGGCTTTTTGGGTATTTCCTTTTATTGGGGTCTTCTTTTCGAGATATGGACAGCTATATTTTAACTTGTTTTCATCATGGGGGGTGTGTTGTTGGAAACCCTAACCCTACTTACCAACGAGAAGTAGATGTATTTGGTGTTAGCATAGATAAAGACCATTTTAGTCTTGTCGAGTTTCTTTCCTACACTAAAGACCTTGGGTATACAAATGTGAAGGGATTTTACTGTGAAGATAACAATGAATTAGTTCAAGTTACTTCTGATACTCAATTGTTAGAATTTGTGAAAGACTTGGTAGATGGTGATGAGTTTCATGTGTATGTGGTCCATGAAGTTGATGAATTGGAAGAATTGCCTGCTCCAACTGGTCTTTTACAATGGTCTGATACTGTTGATGAATCTGTGGGTATAAATACTGAGGAACTGTGGAGAATGATTCTGATTTGAATGGAGTTGATACAGAACTGCCTAGAGGTAATACAAATCAAAATGAAGCTGAATCAGATCTGCCTAGTAGTGACACAGATGTAGATGTTATTCCAGATGAAGATGATTCAGATGTTGATGAAGAATTGAGATCCCTTAGGGCTGAAAGAAGAAACAAAAGAAATCCTAATCTTAGGAAGAAAAGAGATAGGGAGAAGAAAACAATAACTAAAGAGGTACCAATAGGTGAGGCTGGTGTGGATAGAGGTTTTGAAGATATTGGAATAAATAAAAAGGATAGATATGTTGGCAGATTGGGAGGAGATGAGAAGTATATTGATAGCTCAGAATGTGATAGTGATGATAGCACTGATATACTAGATGCAGAAGCTGTTGGAGGTGTTGATCTACCAGGCAGAAGAAAGAGCAAAAAGGTCAGGTATGATGATCAATGTACTGATGCTATTTTTGAACTTGGAATGATTTTTGAGAATGCTAAGGAATTTAGAAAGGCTTTGGCAAAATATGCTGTTGAAAAAAATTATCAGATTAAGTTAAGGCCTAATGAAGCTCATAGAGTGAGAGCTAAATGTAAATTCAAAGAAAAATGCAAATGGTTGTGCTATGGTGCTATTGATAAGGATTCTGGTAACTTTATGATTAAAAATTATTATTCTATACACAAGTGTTTACCTTCAAATAAGAACAAAATGTGTACAACAAAGTTCCTAGCAAGTAGATTCAAGGATGAAATAACTAAACAACCATCTTTGAGGATTTGGGAAATACAAGAGTTGTGCAGGGAGGAGTTAGGACTAAAAGTGGGTAGAACAATTTGTTACAAAGCAAAGATGATGATTCTTAGAGAAAACATGGGTGACTGGAATATGGAATTTGCAAGGTTATGTGATTATGCTGAAGTCATAAAACAAACCAATCCTGGTAGTTCTGTTTGGGTAAGGATGGATAGAGAAACTGTACCAGGAAAGAATTTGTTTGTGTATTTCTATGTATGCTTGGATGCATTGAAGAAAGGGTGGAAGGAAGGATGTAGAAGAATAATAGGATTTGATGGATGTTTCTTAAAGGGTGCTTGTAAGGGTGAACTTCTTGTAGCAGTTGGAAGAAATGGAAACAATCAGATGTTTCCTATAGCCTGGGCAGTTGTGGACAAGGAGACTAAACATAGTTGGAGTTTCTTTATCAACTACTTGAAAGAGGACCTGCAGTTGGGTACTGGACAGGGTTTTACTGTAATGTTAGATATGCAGAAGGTAATTGTCTATTACTTTGATAATTGTAGATATATAGAAATGTATTTTCTTTCTTGAATTGTATTGAATTCTATTTTATTGTAGGGTCTTCAAGCAGCTGTTGGTGAACTGCTGCCAAATGCTGAAGTTAGAATGTGTGCTAGACACATCTGGTCTAATTGGAGTAAAAGATGGAAGGGAGAGGAAAGGAGAAAACAATTCTGGAGATGTTCGAAGGCAACTTTTGAAGTGAAGTACAGTGAGGAGCTTTACAAAATGAGCAGACTTGGTAATGAAATTAATGATGATTTATTGCATTATCCACAAGTGTCATGGGTTCGAGCATTCTTTCAAGAGCATTCCAAATGTGATGCAGTTGAAAATAACATGTGTGAAACCTTTAACTCATGGATCTTATCATGTAGACACAAATCTATAATAACCATGTTGGAGGAAATTAGGAGAAAATTAATGACTAGAACTGTGGATATGGTTAAGTTTGCTGACACATGGATATGTGATATTACACCTATGGCTAGACTTATGTTGGAGGAGAATAAGGAAAAGTCTAGGGCATGCAAGGTGCTGTGGAATGCTGATGTTGGATTTGAGATTGGAGAAGGGCAGTATAGGCATACAGTCAACTTGACTAATAGAGTTTGTAGCTGTAGAACTTGGCAATTGAGAGGTATTCCTTGCCAACATGCTATTCTGCTTTGTATCATATAGAACAGGAACCTGAACCACTTGTGGAGCATTGGTATAGGAAGGATACATTCTTAAAGGCTTATAGTCATTTTATTCAACCAATTTCAAATATGAAGATGTGGCCTGAAACTAACAATCCAAGGATTGAGCCTCCTGAACCTAAGCAAATGCCTGGTAGACCTCCAAGAAATAGAAGAAAGAGTAAAGATGAATCAAGAAAGAAGTATGGAAAGATGTCCAAACAAGGGTTGAAAATTACTTGTTCCAAGTGTAAACAACAAGGCCACAACAAGAAATATTGCAAGGTAAAATAACTTATTATTTGTTTGTGCCTTTTTAAAATTCTTCTTGAATGTAATGAACAAACTTTATGTTTGATATTTAGGTTGGTGTCCATACTTCACAACCAGCTAGCCACAGTTCACAATTTACTGCTGGTCAAAGTTCACAAGGAAGTTGCCATCCTGAACCAACAAGCTCCTTCCAACCTGGACCAACAAGATTCAACCAACCTGCTTCAACAACATCAAACAGTCATGCTTCTTCAACAACAGTTTGTGGTGATACCAGTAGAGTTAAGAGGGCAAGGGAAACTGCAAAAACAAGCCAACCACCACCATTTGTGGATACAAGTATTCCTGTTACAAGAGGAATAACCAGTCAACTACCTACAAAGACAAGACAAACTGCTGGACAAAAAAGAGGAAGAGTTGCAACTGGTGAAGATTCTGCAAGAGGAGGGCCAACTAATGATGGATCAAGTAATGTTGGATTTGGCATCTATACAAGTGCAAGTGGAACCCAAATGCTAAACGTAAGTTTGTCACAAACTGTCTCTGAAATGAATGCAAGTTTATATATTAATTTTGGTTTTTTCTTCAAAAAACAGCCTGGGACTTCAAGTCAAAGGATTCTACCAACAGGTTTAAGTTATAAGGATGCAAGTTTAACGGGTATAGACCTTGGTTTTAAGCCTAGAGGCTTGAGATGGAAAAACAAGGATGTTGTCACCACTTCCCAATTGCAGCAAATGGCAAACAAAAAGAAGAAGTAGCATCAACTTAGAATAATCAAGTAATGTTGGATTTGGCATCTATACAAGTGCAAGTGGAACCCAAATGCTAAACGTAAGTTTGTCACAAACTGTCTCTGAAATGAATGCAAGTTTATATATTAATTTTGGTTTTTTCTTCAAAAA